GTAAATATTCGGAGTGTTTTCTTGAACTTTTGGAATACATTGGCAGCTTTGTTTTCTTTTAAAAACAGAAATAAGAAATAGAAGTATCATTAGAAGCCTTTTGAGGTCAACGTCTCCTGAAAAGACACATGTACTTAGGAGAAATGAGTACATACCAGAACAGAGAGCAGGCATTCTGATTAGACTCCTGGAATCATTTTCTGTGGAGTGAGTTTTAATATTTGAAGGTTAGAAAGGTGAGCTCAAGCTGAATACAGTATATGAAAACAGCCCACTTCTCCTAAGCAAATTACCTTGGAAGTGGTTCAGTGTTGGATTCAGGGAGGGCTGTGCTGGCCCTCGGAGGAGAAGGCTGAGGGTAAATGGCAGCTCCTGCCAGCAAGATGCCAGCGATCCGTCCAAGCTCATCAATCAATATTGGATGTCAGAAATGAGATTGAGCGCTTTGACTCCTCTGATAATGGCCAGGAAAATGAAGATATCTTGGAGAACAGCCAGAAGCAGAGAAGGCTTTGGGTTTTGATACTGTCCTCTAGTGATGGGTTTTGCAATAGGTTTCCTATTCACTCTTAGACATTCTCTAAGGACACCTCTTTCTTTTTCAAACACTGTTCCGTTTTTGTTTTTGTGGAAGACATACATGATGTGGGCTGTTATCTCAATTTATGAATAAATGATGTTTATATTCAGACTTCTCATTTATGTAATATAGATCTTGTGTGGCACTGTGTGCTGCTTAGTATGTGTATGGGGAAAATGTGCATGAATGTACCTACCTGCCAAAGTCACAGGTATCAGACTCACCTGGAGCCAGAATTACAGGTGGTTGTGAGCCACCCAACCCATATCCTGGGTACTGAACTCAGGTCCTTGGCAAGAGCAGTACATGCTCTCAACTGCTGAGCCATCTTCCAGCCCTCTGTGTGTTGTTTTTGCAGCTGCATCTTTTCATTTAATTACAATAGCCACAGCATAGAGTAGATAAAAGAATTGTGTGTCTTTGTGGTGGTATGTATGTGGGTACCTGTGGGTACCAGAAGCATTAAATCCCCATAGCACTGGAATTACAGGCATTGTGAGTATCTGATGTGTACTGGAAACTGCAAATGGGTTCCCTGGAAGACCAGTGCTCACTCAAACATTGATCCATTTCTCTAGACCCTCTAAAATACTTTTTATTAGCCCAAGTAGACATACTGACTGGGTACAGTGAGATATTTGAATACATGTACTCCAATCAAATCAGAGAAGTTACCATTCTCTTTCCCCGTCATTTCTCTATTTAGAGCCTTCAAGTTCACAGATTCTCTATACTTATATATCATCAATACATTTCACCATATTGGTTGCCACCTTGGAACCACTTTGGAATACACTTACTGTATTCTTTTCAAGGCATCAAGATACCAGCTTTTTGTTCACATTTGCACATCCAGAGGGGTAAGTTATTTCTAACACTGTTACAGGTTAGCCTTCAAAGTAAGTCCCTTTCTCCTGACAATTTGCATAGGATGTGAGCTTGATATACAATATTAAGTTTAATTTCTTCTGGGCACTGGAGTGTGCTCTCTTTACAATGTTTTTGGCTATAATTAATGACTTTAGATACAAAATGTACAACTACGGAGTTGGAGAGCCTCATTGTGTGAGAGCTGCATAGGAATGGGATATTCTAGCATCACATGTAGACGTGTATAGAAGGTAGTGGGTTGGGGTGCCCAGTGTGTGGCCTTTGCTATAAGGGGGTAGTGACATTGATGGACTTACAACTCTTTCTTCGGGTTGATGATGTGAGGTCTCTTACACAGGCAAGAGCTTCTGGTCCAAATACTTCATGGGAGGAGGAGGCAGTGGGAATCACAGTGCCTCTAAACCCTCTTTTGTGTTCATCATGCTATAGTGCACGTGCAGTAGCTTAGTGGCATCAGGAGCCATGGTGTACCCAGGTAGTGAAAGGAAATATAATGTTCACTCCCAGCCCTGTAGACAACATGTAGCCACTGTAGCATGGAGGAGAGATGGGGCTTACTATCCCCCACCCCTTCAGCAGTGTGGATCCAGGCATGGGGCAGCAGTAGGAACTGTCATTTTTATTCCTAGTCCCTTTGCATTACATGCATGTATATAGGAGATGGGGGAAGGGTAGAAACTGCATCAGTACCCTTTTTTTCAGTTTTGGTACCAGCATGAGCCCATAGATAGCTGGGCATGCCCTTAGTCCTGAAGGACAGACACATAGGTCTCCTGACCCTGAAGGATGACACTTTCCATTCTGTGTGCTGTAAAATCAATTTCTTGCACTGTAAGGCACTAAGCAGGCTTTACTCTTTGGATGCTATATGTATTCTTCTAGGTTTAGTTGGGGTTGACTTAAGATAGTGTGATGCAATATCTGTGGCATCCAAGATATGGGATTATACATGGGCTTCTGGCCTCTAGAAGAGTATAAAATCTGAGAGTAGCTCACCTCTTAAGATATGGATATTGTCATTCAAATGAAACAACGAAGGCTTTACCTAAGGGCATGGCAATGGGTAGGGATACAGTTATACAGGATTAGGAGATAAAATAGGTTTATTGAGTGAAGGACAGAGAAGTGAACCTAGGGTTCAATAATGACCTTGAAAATAGACTGATGCTCTACTCTGGTCTCTCTTAGTGCTGATCATGAGGAACAGTTGGCCAAGATAACACTGCTTAGGGTAATGCTCTTGGCCATGAACTGTGTGAGAAGAGAGAAATAGCCCAGAATATGGTTGAACATAAACTTCCTGGCATTTGGACTGGGTGATTGATGACGTTTCTATAAGAATCAATATGAGGAGATTAGTGAAAAAAAAACATCCTTAGAATGAAGAGAAAAGATAACGTTAAGTGGCTTGTAGAAGAGGATGCAAGCATGAGTATGTTTGTATTGAATGTTAATTCCCACCAGAAGGCTTCTCTTTCAGCAAAACATCAAACAACCAAATGTCCTCAGCCTTTCCTGTGTTTGCACAGTAATTTCATCAATGAGGAGAAGGATATAGACAGCATGGGACCCTTCTCACTAAGGCTGATGAAACTTCGGCTACTGTTAGGTTTCTGACTTGCAATACAATCTAAGTTATGAGCCTCTCAGTATAGTACTGTCTAGATAAGCATAAGCAATTCTGACTAATCAACTCCACCCTGAATTAGAAAGAACATCTATCTCCCCCTGGTTTGGACTACACAGTGGGTATATGGATTTGCCTTCTTGACTTCAGTGTCTCAACCTAGCACTACTACATGAAGCCTCAAAAAAATATTGCCAGTATGGAATGGATGTTGCTTCAGACCAAGGGATCATTTCCTACAGAAGTAGTCACAGCAGGAGAAAGGTAGCTAGGGGATGTGCTAGTTCTCTTTCTCTTGTACTCTTTTACACTCTTTCTCTTGGAGGTTGGCTATTAATACATGATATAGAAGGACAGTTAGTGTTTTATGGTGTTTTGTTAGTTTTGGGTAGTACTAGCAATTGAAACCAGGGACTCACTCATGGTAGGCAAATGCCTTTGCCACTGAGAGGCATTCCTAGCTCTAGAAGGATTTTCTTACAAAGACATGTGGGTGTTAAATATAAGGCCATCATGTGGTGATATGTCCCTGCTACATGGATCTAAGAATCAGGAGAAATTAGGAATAATTTCACTTGCACTTATTTCTAGTGGCCCATTTGAAAATTTTGTTTCTCATCTCTGACTTTAGGCTTATATATTTAGGAGGCATCATGAATCTTCAAAGTGAGTATGACTTACACAGTACATTTTTGGTCACCTTAACAATACTTACTGAATTTTGTTTCAAAATAGCTGAGCTTGATTACCATGAAAAGGCTAGATTACTGCTATTTAATGGGGACATATATTTAGAACTTAATGTTCAGTGCGGACATCTTTCACTATTAGTGGGAATGTCTAATGGCAACTATGTTCTAATTGAGACCAACACTTGAGGGGGCTCAAAACTCTCATGAAGAGGGCCTGGGTCATCCCTTTATGCAAATGATCTCAATTAGAACATTAACCATGGTGAGAAGGGATTATTGGATCTCAAGACCAAACAGAGCAGAATGGGCAGTCTTTTTAGTAGCTTTCTAGAGAAGTTTTGACCAAACAGAGTCCAAGGGAAGGTATGCAAGGATAGTGTAGAACTAATATGAGATGAAAGTATATTTGAGCAGAGTAACTGTGAGATCAAACACCATGTCTTTCCCTAGTTTCCTTCACTAGTGCACCAATCCAATAGTGCTCTGCAATGTGTTTGCTAACGACCTGATCCAGAGACCTGCCCTCTACTGAACAGGACCTCATCTTGCCCAAGAGATGTCTCCAGTCCTTCTGCTGGAACCAGAAGCCAGTGCTTGAGTCACATGGCTATGAATCTGGCCACCTTGATGCAAGAGGCTGTTACTAGTCTCTAAGGGAGACAATGTGCTTGTCTAGAATTTTCTCCTTTTTTGACTTCTTTACTCTCCTTCTCTTGGAGGTTGGCTATTAATACATCACTTAACAAGAATTCTAGTCTTATTTCCTGTATCTTTACAATCCAACCTGAGCTTATAATGTGAATGGATACGAACTTTCAGGAAGAGAAATTGAAACAGAAAGAGAAATAAAAATAAAATTTGAAGTGCACTGGCTTTGGGCAGAAGTTCAGAAAAAAAAGGTGTTTAGAATATAAGGTAAAAGAAGCAATGGAGAAGGAAGAGTGTACGGCAGGACAAGATGACATCACGTGTTGTCAGTATCTGTAGGGGACAGAAACATACCTCCAAATCCTGTGTTGTATGCAGGAGCAAAAGAAGGGAGTTTTGCAGAAAGAATGACAACTGTTAGGGTGATGGGTAAGAGGAGGTGGGAACTGAACATTCTGTAGCATCCTTGGAAGAAAGAGTTTCATGTTTACAAGAGAAGCTGTACTTACGAGTCCACTGATATTTAGGACATCCTCCATAGGGTCCTCAGCTCCTCTCATACTTGCTTCTCTACACTTTAATGTATCCTTCCTAAACTCAGGTTGCAGGCAATAGGACACCAGCAGAAGTAGCTGAAAGATTTGTCTCCTAGTGTACTGCTGAGCAGGAAGGCTGGCTTATGAAAAAAAGATGGATTATTTCATAAGCTATGATGTAACAAATGGTTGGCCATCTGCAGAAAAAAGGAAGAAAAAGAAAAAGATAAAGGCAAGCTTCAAATTCATTTCATACATTAAAATACATTCCATATGGAGCAAAGACTTAAAAATAAAAAGTGAACTATAAAAATCTCAGGAAAAAATAGGAAAAGTTCTTTAGCTAGGGAGTTGGGAGTGTCTAAGTAAAATAAAACTCAGCAACTATTAAAATTTAAAATTTCTGTAGGTCAAAAGCAAGTGTCTTTAATATTAGCCCGTGATTGAGGCCTGCATGTGCTTTATATTATTAATTAAGTTACTACTGTATAGAGGTATCTGAGGTCAATGCCTTTGCCATTGTTTTAGGTGAAGACGGCTTAGAAAGAACAGGCCATTGTGATAGGAAAGATGATGGAAAATGGGTAGGGTCAGAATTTACCTCAGGTGGATGCTTCTAGACAGACCATGGGCTTTATTTTTAAATTTGCATTTTGAAGAACTTTTAGGATGTCAGAAAGTTGAAAACCTTCACAGTGAATTCCTGTGCAGTCTGCACTCAGTTCCATCTAATGTTGGCCTCTTTTTTTTTTTTTACAGTGCAATTAAAAAAAACAAGAAATGAATATTAGTATAATACTATTACTAAGTTATGGGATGCCTTTCAAATTTCCTGTTTTTCTCCATCCTCCTTTATCTGCTCCTGTACCCAAACTCACATGTAACACTGCATCACATTGCTAAGCTGTAATGTCTTCCTATTCCCCTCCTAACTGTGGCAACATCCTCAGTCCTTCCTTGTGTTTTATGAACTTGTCCTTAGAAGTTTCCTGATGAGAGGTTGTTTAACTTTTTCTCTGACTAACATGGATCTAATTTTTTTTTTTAATGGTTAGATTTTGCTGAATTTTTGACAAAAATAGTATAATGGCTATGTGGCCTTAGGAGTGACATCTGAGAGGGCATCATGTCAGGCATCTCATTGGGGATAAGGCTAGCCTTCCTCACTTGCCTAAGGTGATGGCTAACAGTGTTCACCAGTGTAGCTACTGGCTTCAGTAAACATTTAGGAGATGATAGCTTGACTTTATGCAACCGATCCTGTTTCTCTTTCTTTCATCCACTAGTTTTCCTGTTTGTTGGGATCTTGTTTCTAGAACTTCTATGCTTTTCTAATGGTTTTGTGTTCATTTTGGCTTACACTTATTGAACTGAATTATTTTGTAGAAATATTTTTTCTGTCTCTTACATAACCATTCATTTATTTTGGAATGAATTCATAAATGTTTTATTTTTTGCACCGTATCCTATTGCTATAATTATTTTCCCTTTCCAGCTTTTCCATTCAAAATCTTTTGATGGGTTATGGCATCCTTTAATGATGACCCCACTCCCCTTTCCTTCTGCTTCTTCCTCCTCTCTCCTTCTTTCCTTAGTTTCTGACACTACCAGATGCTCTGTTAATTGTGCAGTTTCCTGACTTAGTGAAATCAACCACCCTTTAGAAAGTCTCCAGTGTACTTAGAAATTAAGGTACTGTACACTCATTTGGGAAATGTGTTTTTCCCAGAAATAGAGTTTTAAGAGAGAATTTTCCCACCTTCACTCTTCCCTCTTTTCTTTTAGAACTCTCTAGATGATGTCACTTTGTCTTCTGGATCCCAACAGTTTTATTGGGAGGAGAGTGCTGGTGTTTTATTATAATGCTGCTTTTACCACTTCCCCCTTCTTTGCTGGACGCTTTTAAGAATTTTAAGAATTGCTTTTCAACAATTATGGTGTTTTGGGGGCAGGTTTTAAAATGATAATTATCTCAGGATTTTTTTTTTCAATGTTTAGATCTATGACTGTACAGGTTTAGGTGACATGAGGTGGGAGGGTGAACTTGCTAGTCTTTCACATTTGGGGGTCTGGTGAATACATATTGAGTCACTTGCTACTGCCACACAGGCCTCTGAGGATCTGTTCACTTTCTGTGTGAAGTGTTCTATTCATCATTTTGAATAGTTTTTCCTGGGATGTCTTAAAGTTCATCAGTATTTAATTCTGCTATGTCTAAACAATGTTCTGCTCAATTTAGTGAATTTTTATTTCAGAATTTTTGTATCTTTTTTAATCTATAAATATTTCATTTGGTTATTTTTGTCTAATTTCTTCTTTAAATTCATACAATTTTTAAACCCTTGGGTACAATTATCATAACATTAATTTTAAAGTTAGTCTGCTCATTATATAGTAATCATAATTTCTGGATTTGTTTGTGCCCTAGTTATGAATTTTAGTCTCATATAGTCATTGCAAGTCAAGGAATTTTTAATTGTGTGCTTGACATTTTCTACATTATGTTCTTGATTGGCTCTTTTGTTATTATTAGTATTTCCCTTGGTAGTTTTGAAAGATGCTTTGGTAGGTGGTTATTCTCCTTCAGATCATTTCAGTCTTCAGAATTTACTGTGGAATAATGGATAATGTAGTATTAGTACTTTTAAACTTTTTAAAGTAAACATTAGGGACATTAAATATATTTATGTGTATGTAACTGTCACAACTCTTCATCTCCAGAACTTTATATCAAACTCTGTGAACATTAACTCTCGTTGTTAAAGTGTTATCTCCTATAGTTTTGTATGGACTTCTCTAATGATTAGCAATGTTTAGTGAACATTTTCTCATGTGTTCATTGGCCCTTTGTATATTTTCTTTAAAGAAATGTTCATATAGGCATACATTTTTCTCAACCTACCTTTAATAACATTCTTAAACACTTTAACCTCCCTTTTAGCCCATCACCTGCCAGAGGTAGTGGAAAAGAAAGGTTATTAATATGCAGGAAAGTAGACCTGTTTAGAAATGGTTCTTTGGAGCAAATCCCATCTACATTGCCAGGAAATCAGCAGTTCATTCACAGGTTGGCATTGATAGCTCAATATATTTGCAAATACTTCAAAGGTGCACTAGCAGTCCAGTTCAGTAATGTAGGGTGTAAGCAGCAGGCCCTTAAACAGGACCAACTCCATTTTGTAATAGGAAACTTGTAAAGACATGTCTGGTACTTGTAGAGACTAGTCTGGTACTTGTAAAGGCAAGTCTGGAAATGAAGCTGTGCTGCGATAACCAGACACGAGTGGTTATCTGCTGTGCACGTCAGGAGTAGCGCCAAATCCAAAGAGGAGCCGGATGGAGCACTTCGTTCATACTTGTAGCCATGACTGGCTAACGTGACAGTCCGAACAAAGCCTCCTCAGCACCCGGTCATCAAAGAGTTAACCGAGAGACCAATGCCGAAGGCTTCTTCTTGGTCAAGCACTCTGGGAGGTCAAATTAGCAACTCAACTATCTGGAAGCCTCAGCCTGACCCCGCCTTCAAGGACTTGCCTTCAAGGACTGGAACCTGTAACTTTGACACCATCAAAAGGACTCAGGTCGTATAAACCATGAATGATGTGTTTATTGCTATGCTTATTTCTTTGGTAATTAGCAATTTATTATTTGTGTTCATTGTGCATATTGTTAGAGGCAATACATAGGAAATGTGGCAATATCTTGTTGTAGCAATAGCCTTAGCATTTGTGTTTGTGTTAGCTTTTGTGCATCATTAAAAAGTAACTGAATCACAAACCCTCTGTCTCTTGACATACTCTCTCTTCCCTTTCGAGGAGCTGATGATCTCACAGTCAAATCCAGTATATGATCCCTGAGTGGAGCAGGATCTGCCGCTGCCCTCCCCGCGGGCGAGTCTAACCCTTTATCCATAGCCTGTTCCTAACAGATAAGAGTAGCCTGCTCGAGACATAGGGATAGCAGCAGTAGTGGCACCACCTAGTAGGAATGACCAGGCCTCAGCTGAATCAGCATGAGTCCGAATGAGGGGATTCAGACCAACAAGGATGCCAGAAGAAGTTCTCTGAGTGCCTCTTTCAACAAAACAAAGATTAGAGAAGATTCTAGACCAAGACGCTTTACAGAGCTAGTTCTGCCTTCAAGCCCCTCTCTCAGTCCATTGAGGCCTATTTATACTCCCTCCATACATCGTGTGTCCTCCATGGGGCTTGCCTCACCATGTGTCTCGCCTTAGCACATGAATCCTAGCAAAATTCCATGTGAGCTTTTATGAGCTGACATCACTCTGCTAATCAATCCAAGTCTGCAGAAGCAGCAAGTAGCCACAGTGCACCATGAGAAGGTTTTTGGCATGTTTCTTTCTCTGGAATCCCAACAAATGGAGCTCAATTGTACATGTAAAGCAGACCAATACATGTGTGTCTTTAGCAAAGTATCCTTTGTCACCCATCCTTTCATGTGCTTGCTTTAGCAGAACATTCTTTCACCTGTGTCTGCTTTAGCTAAATGTTCCTTTACAACAAAACACTATCTGACACAACTGAATTTCTAAAGAACCCTTAAGTTTCCACTTCATGTTTATTTGAGTTATTTGCCTGCTTTATACATTATGGTGGTGTATGTGTGTTTATGTGTGTGTGTGTATGCGCATGTTTGAGTACATACATGTATATGGATTCATGGGATTTGTCCATGTGATAATTTGTATATGCTTGACCCAGGGAGTGGCACTATTAGAAGGTGTGGCCTTGTTGGAATAGGTGTGTCACTGTGAGTGTGGGATTAAGATTCTCACCCTAGCTGCCTGAAAGTCAGCATTCTGCTAGCAGGTTCAGATAAAGATGTAGAACTCTCAGCTCTTCCTGTACCATGCCTGCCTGGATGCTGCATGCTCCTGCCTTGATGATACTGGACTGAACCTCTGAACCTGTAAGCTAGCCCCAATTAAATGTTGTCCTTGTAAGAGTTGCCTTGGTCATGGTGTCTGTTCACAGCAGTAAAATCTTAACTAAGACAGTCCATATACTTTGAACACCAATGTATTAACAGATATATAACTTTGAATATTTTCTTCCATTCTTTGTTCATTTTCCTTTCCATTTCAGTATTTTTTTGATGAGCAAAGTTTTTAATTTTGATGAGGTGCAGTTTGTTTTCACTCTCTGACTATTGTAGCTGTACTGTTTGCACCATATTCAAGAACGTTGCCAAATCTGACATCAGGAAGATTTCAACCAGTGTTTCATTTTATTCTGTTTTTGCTTTGATGTCCTATACTTCCAGCTCCTACATATTGATTAATTTTGAATGAACTTTGCATTTTGTTCTGAAGTGCTCTAGGTAAGCCCAGAACATTGTACATACGAGGCAAATGCTCTACCACAGAAATACATCCCCAACTGAACGGATGACTTTATACATATTTATTTATGCACTGTAATTTAGAATACAGTTTGAAGAAGCTGGTGCTTTCTGTCTACAGTACAGGTCCATGAGATCCAACTCGGATTACCTCAACCCTAATGCCTTTACCTTCTGAGCCATCTCATTAGACCCCGCCCTCTCTTTTTTCCCTCTACTGCAACCCCCGTTTATAAAATATAATCAGTTTTGTTGTACATAGAATTCTCAGATAATAAGCTTCTCCTTCAGCAGTTTAGGTATATCACCTCTACCACCCTCTCCCCAATCCCAAATAAAACAAAGAGTAAATAAATAAATAAATAAATAAATAAAACAAAATATCATCTCTCTGCTTCCTGGCATCCAAGGTTACTGATGAGAAGTGTGCTGACAAACTCCTGTGAATCTATTATTTGTGAGGAATTACCTGTTAATTTTGTTTGTTTGATTATTTTAGATTTATTAGTTCTATTTTATGCACATGAGTATTTTGCCTTCATGTAAGTATGTGAACCAAATGTATGCCTGGTACCCACAGTGTTCAGAAGAAGATATTAGATTCCCTGGAACTAACTGATTGTAAGGCACCATGTGGTTGCTAGGCACTGAATCTGGGTTTTTTTTTGGAAGAACAATAAGTGCTTGTAACACAGAGCCACATCTTCATTGTTGTGGTTTTAAAATCAGGTCTCATGAGGACCAAGCTGGCCTTGAACTCCTAATCATCCTGACCTTGCCTTCCAGGGACTGTGGTTACAGGCAGGCATCAGCATACTTGGGCACTGGTGAACAGCTTTTATCTCACCATTTAATGTTCTCCTGCTATGGGCTTCAAGGTTTGAGTTTAGTTGGATTGACTGCCATTCTCTTTAGTGTATCCTACTTGGTGTTTGTAGGGGTTCTTGGATCTTTTTAAATTCAAATATTTTATGAAGTTTGAGAAATTTTACACCATTCTTTTAAAAAATAATTACCACCGTTTCTGTTTGTCTCTTTTCCCGAGACTGTGTCAGCACATATAGTGGTGCGCTTGGCAATGCTCCTTATGTCCGGTGGGCTCTGTTCAGTTTTGTGTCTCCTTTTCTGCTGTTCTCCAGATTAATTTAGAATATTCTATCTCTAAGATCATCACATTTTTCCTCCAGTTTCGGTGCATGGTTGATAATCTCTAGTAATTGTTTCAATGTTTGCATTTCAGATCTCTCTCTATCACTCCTGTTTGTTTAGTTCTTTTTATAATTTCTAAATTTCTACCTTTTAGTTCTTATTTTTATTTCATTCCTATGTAGTTTTCTGATTTCCCTTGGTGGTATGCTCACCGACCTTTGCATCTTGAACATATTTTAGTAGATCCTATGCCTGTACATCTGCAGATCCATTTTCTGCCAATTTGTTTTCTTCATTTTAATTGGCTGTGCTTTCTTTGTATGCTTTGTGATTTTTGTTGCTACTGAAATAAAAACAAACAGAGCAAAGAAACCTGATCTACCAGCCTGGGGAGTCTGGCTGTGTGCTGAGAAGCTTCTTCATTCATTAGCCAGACAAGCTCTGAGCAGGGCGAGTTTGCCTCAGGCGGGGCCTTAAGCTTTTCCAGGGCTTTCTGAGCACATCTCACCTTCCTTTATGTGTACATTTTTCAGTTTCCTAATTTGTGTGGCGATATTTAAACCATCTGCATTTCTCCAAGTGTCACTCTTGGTCCTCCACGTGGTCTTAATGCTCTAGTGGGTTTCATCCCTATTATCTTAATTCAGGCATTTTCTTGATATATACACATAGACACACATGCATATATACATATCTACACACATATATTATTAAACAACTGCTTGTATAGGAACTAAGCCAGGCAAAATGTATTCTGATGAAGGTCTACTCTGCACAGTCCTTTGGCTTTAAAGGGAAAAGTTAGGGTGCTGTCCCTCCCCTCCAGGCTGATTCCATACCATATCATGGGTGGAGCCAGCACCAGAAACAGTACCTGAAGGCTTCTTTCTGGTTGAAAACTACACCTATTTGATTAATGGTTTAGTTAATGACTGTAGAATGTTGGTGGTTTTCTAGAACTTGTATAGATTTATTGTTTCTGCTTTATAGTTACCTTTTCATTTTTCTGTGGAAAAAATAAAGGTTTATGGCTTCCTTGTAACTCTCGTTTAGGGTTGTGTTAAATTTTATTTTCACAGATTATTGACCTCACTTTCAAGATGTCTTTAAAATATTGACTTTTAAATCTTTGAGTCTTTAAAGTATTTTTAATTGATGTGTGTGTGTGTGTGTGTGTGTGTGTGTATGTGTTTGTGTGTACATGAATATAGAGGTGCCCATGGAAGCCAGAGGCATTGGATCTCCCCGGAGATGAATTTATAGAATGTTGTGAACCACCATCCAATCTGGGTGCTGGGAACTAAAATTGTTTATTTTATTTTATTTGGAAGAGCAGCAAGCACTTGTAACTGCTAATGTATATTCCTGGGATCTTTATTTAATCTCTGTGTATCAACACACAGACAACACACACACACACACACACACACACACACACACACACACACGCACAGACAGAGAGTAGAGACAGAGAGAGACAGAGAGACAGCGAAAGACAGAGACATAAAGAAACACAGAGAGATAGAGACCCAGAAAGAGACAGAGAAAGGAAAATCAAATACTCCAAAACAAACCAAAATAACAGAGACTCTTTCCTCTTTGCTTGGGAAAGATGAAAGTGTTTTTTATCCAGGTAAAATTGAGATGTCAGCTTTTTATCTTAGTTTTTCCTATTAGATGTTTCCCTAATCTTTGAGCCTTACCGTACATACTTTTGCTTGGTGTTCAACAGATTCGAGAAAATCTTATGCAGATTTATAGTCACTTATTTGTAGACATTTTCATTTCAGTATTCTTCAGTGCAAATTCCATCTTTCTCAGCCTTCCTAAATCCCATTCTTCCTCTCAAGTCTATGAGAACACCACACATTTCCTATCTCTTCATGATCTATCCTTACATTACTGAAATAATGTATTCAAATAAAACTTACAGGATGATTTATTGATTTGTTTTCGTTTTCTTTTTGTAATTTTGTATTTATTTATTTATTTATTTATTTATTTATGTATTTATTTTTTGAGACTGTCTTAGTTAGGGTTTTACTGATGTGAATAGACACCATGACCAAGGCAACTCTTATAAAGGACAACATTTAATTGGAGCTGCCTTACAGGTTCAGGAGTTCAGGCAAGTATCAAGGTGGGAACATGGCAGCATCCAGACAGGGATGGTGCAGGAGAAGCTGAGCTTTCTACATCTTCATCTGAAGGCTGCTCGCAGAATACTGACTTCCAGACAGCTAGGACAAGGGTATTAAAACCCACACCCACAGTGACACACCTACTCCAACAGGGCCACACCTTCTAATAGTGCTACTCCCTGGGATGAGCATATACAAACTATCACAGAGACTTTGTTTAATTGACTTTGTATACAGGCTGGCCTGGAACTCACTATGTGGCCCAGTAGGCCCTTACACTTATGATTCTCCTGCCTCAGACTACTACATACTGGGCTTAGTCTAAGTGTGTCCCACTGTGCCTGCTGCATCCTGGTTTTTTCTCCTCTCTCTTTTTGAGTCCATGATTCCATTAACTTTTTGTCTTGTGCTTCATAGATCTTATCATGTTCTCTAGCTACCGTGTGTCAGGAAAACAAGTTCAATAGTGCTTACTGGGCAGGGGTTCGAGAAGAGACATGTTTAAAATGATTTTTTTTTGAATTGTGATATTTTGAATTGTGAAGTAAGGCAAATTAAAAAAATATTTTAGTATTCTGAAATAGAGAGGTTTATAAGTAGTGTAGGGGTACAGCTTAGTCTGACATGTCTTTTCTGTTCACAGTGCTCAGCATAGAGACTGACATACATCAAGCACTCAATATGTGTTCTTTGAAAAAACCTCTAAGCAGACAAGAGATCTGCTTATACGTCCAAGATTCTATAGAGAATAGATTTTGAGTGTAAAATACAGATGTCTTTGTACTTCAGCATGATGACTAGATAACTTCTCTTTTCAATTCAATTGCTGTAGACCCTGGACCATGATTGTTTTCTGCTTCACTGTCTACGACATTTGCTCCTAAACTGCCATGGGGCAGAATGCTGATGTCATGGCTTTGCTCCTGTACCTAATATGTCAGGGAAAGAGAAGATATTATTTTCTGGAAAAACCTAACTGTAAGTGTAAAGCATAAGCTAATACTTAGGGCTTCTGGCATATCATCTCTAGAGAATATAATGGCCCTAAGTCCTGTGTGTGTGTGTGTGTGTGTGTGTGTCTGTTTGTAAGTATAGATTTTTATTTTATCACTATTAGGGAAGCTGACAAACCTGAGCTGCTACACACATTGGTCTTGTGAGAAATATGATTGTTTTGTTTTATTTTTTTTAAACTCTGAGGGCTACAAATAGATTTACACATTTTTCATTTTCTATACTAATTTCATTTAAATGTCTTTTACATTTCTCTTAAAACTGTTTTTATCTGAGGAATAGCATGGCAATGTATGTATGTACTGATCAAGTTGAAGTAATTAGTGGTTCTAATTCCTTTCCATTTTTGTGCTTACTTTAAAATGTTTTAGGACTGAAATTGAACCCAAGATCCTATAGATGCCAGGAAAGCATGCTGCCACTGAGCTAGTCCCTAAACCTTTGGGCTAATCTTGTCTAGTTAATCAAAATGTTTGGCAATGACAGTCACTGCCTTGTGTCGTACAGAACTAAAACTCATTCCTTCACCGTCGTTTTGCCACTTATTACTCAGCCTCGTGTTTTCATCCCTCCCCTACCTGCAACCTACAGTAATCATTATTTTACATCCAGACAGACCGTGTTTAGCTACTATGTATAAAAGTAAGCATGCAGGATACCTCTTCATGTGTCTGAAAAGGTGAAATAATGATATTACTTTGGAGTAATAGCTTCCAGCTTCATACATTTTTCAGTGATATCTGGATTCTATTCTCCTTGTTATGGCTGGATTATAGTCCACTGGGCTGATCTATCTCATCTTCTTGATTCGTCTGTAGATAAACCTAGGGTGAATGTTGGCTGTTGTGAACAATGGTGGTATAACACATGCGACATCTCTTTTGTATGCTGATTTTGTTTCCTTTGGATGTGTGCCTCCAAATGGGATAGCTGGATCCTATGGTGGATCTGCTTTGAGTTGTTTTGGAATCTATACAGCTTTCCATAGGAAACAATTGTATACCCCCACCAGTAGTATGCTGTGAAAGTCCCATTTTTTCTACATACTTGCCCAGAATGTGTCACAATTTGTCTTTTTGTTAGCAGTCATTTCGTCTGAGGTGAGATGATGTCTCATTGCATTTTGATTTACATTTCCCTGACTTGTAATGATTTCTCTCATAAACTTGTTGGCCATTTATATCTCTTCTTTTAAGAATGTCTATTAAAACTATCCTTCTATTTGTAAATTAGGTTGCTGATAAAAATTATAAGTCCTTTTATATTCCAGACATTAGGCAATAGAATAGTTTCTTTATTTCAGCACACAGATTGCCTCTGATCTCTGCTGATTGTATTCTTTGTTGTACATAGCAGAGTTTAACAAATCCCATTTGTCTATTTTGTGTGTTTGTTTTCTGTACTCTTGGAATCTTGCCTAAGACATACTTGTCTATACTAATGTTTTGGATTATTTTTCTGATTTCTTCTAGTACTTTTATAATATCAGGTACTTCATCCTCCTTGAATTTGTCTTTGTCAATTTTTAATCCTGTGTTACAAGATTAAACTGGATCATCGCATATCTGGTCTTCTCAACTCTATTTACCGACATTTCCAGTGCATTTTTTTTCCTCCCTGAAAACCAGTTAGGTGAATAGGTTTGTTTCTGGAATCTTTATTCTGTTTCTTTGATCTGTGAGTCAGCTTTTATGTCAGCTCTATGCTGTTTGGGGTCCTATGGCCCCACAGTGTGTTTTGAGATTAAGTATTTTGACATCTCTGGCTTTGTTCTTTTCAGTCAAGATTGCTTTGGTGATCTGAGCTCTTAGGTGTGAACTTTATACTTCCAGATCCCCTTTGGCTTCAGCATCTGAGATCTAAGTGTTCCTCAGCCTCCTTTCCTGGATGGTTTGAGATGATGGCTGCAGGAAACCTGCACATGGAATCTGGAATTCAGGAAGACTGCACAACAGGTCAGCTACGTCCTAGCCTGTGATGTTGTAAACTTATATATTCTTTCTTCATTGGTAAAATAATGACAGTAGTTTCCCTTTTCACAGAGCTGCTGGAAGGATTAAATATGGCAAATGATGTAAATCTCTAGAACAAATTTTGAAAAGTCATTTCAAACTAAATAAACTGAAATTATATTTATTATTAGTGATGGTGTAGTGTTATATTCTAGATAATAATAGATCATATGTTTTAGCTGATGAACAAGTGATAATTTGTATATATTCTATGCTTTGCCTTGCACAATAAAATTTTTTGGTGGTGTTTCATAAGTATCTTTTTTAAAGGCAATCAATATCCAGCTGTTTTCCTGCAGGGGATCCAGTATCATTTGACATCAACAAACCTTCCTAGTGACTGTAGAAGCTGTTGACTTTCTCTTCTCTTTTCTACCATTTCCCCTTTTATAACAGAAGGAACCTGGCACATATATATCAGATATTGCTGGGGCTGAGTTTAGGATTTCAGGGGTCGAGTTCGGGAGTGGAACCCCAGTAAACAGTTCCAAGGAATGTTGTGACATCTAGCCTGGTAGGATGCTGTTCCAGTAATGATCCCATCTAGGACTTTGCTGTTCAGAGAAATAGTAATTGATTGCTTTTAATAAAAATTGCAGCAAGAATTGTTTTCTAAAGATATTGCTATCAAGGATGTTTGTGGCCAGGGTTTGAACACTTCATATTGTGGATTTTCCATAAGCTCCTAGGATATTGATAAAGGGATCCTAGGAGCAGATATTGATGTTGGTGAAGTGCCTTGCAGAAGGTTATCAAGTTCTCTCCATTCAAATTCATTCCTCAGGGGATTCAGGGAAATTTTTGTAGATTAGATGTTTGTCCTTTGGTTTCTCTTGTAG